TTGAGAATAAATTAAAATTCAAATCAGATTTACAATAGCTACTTGATTGTAATAATAAATATTGAATGATTACGAGAGTAGATTCAGTAAAAAAAACGACTGATGAAATTTGATATTCAATATTTATTCAATTATAACTACGGTCTCAAATAGTGATTCTAAGGAAAGATTGAAGATCATTTTTCATACTATTCCTTCCTTACTATTTTTCACTTTACAAAAATTCAGGATACATTACATTTATAATTCAATAAATTCAATATCTACCAGAATAGTAGTCAATAGTAAATGATGGATGTAGCAGTTACTACGTGGTAGGAAATCATAATGAAGAAAAAAGAATTGAAACTTTCAATGGTTTTTACCACTTTTGTTTGTAACTAACTTTACTGCAGTTTCGTCTTATAAGGACATTCTCAAACATGTACATTAAACTAACAATGGTTTATTACATTAGCCCTTATATACCACCCCTGTAAGTAATAATAGAGGTACTTGGTTTGATTGAGTGCCTGAATGTGCAATTTACAATACGGATGTACCAGTTTGAAAACCGGTGAGTAAACTAAATCGATTTGATCATTTAACAGGTTGCACCCGCAATGTTTATGCTTGTAAATTTCCAAGGATTCTAAATAATTGAGTTTGTAACCCTTCCTTGCATAGTGCAGAATTTCCGTATCGTTTAGATTCCGGGAACTTGTGGTTGTATGCCAAGGAATGGTTTGAATCATTTTTCCTTGTCTGAAGGACCTTTCAAGTTCAGTATACCGTTTTGGAAATTTCGACCACATTGTCCCACATAAACACTATTTCACTCCGGACACTTAAGCTTATACAGTGTCATCCCCAATGTATGCACCATATGGGAAACTTATTTATTAAGGGCTTTTACGATGAAATGTTATTTTCGAAAAAAGTTTGTGCATTTCTTAAAACTAAACATGCACCAAAAAATACAGTAATATATACGTAATATACGAGGAGCCTTCAAATATTTGATTTTGAGACAAAAGTAAAGTACTTTTATTTTGAAAAATGTCGGGAAATGATATTTAGAAAAGTTGTTCAGCATTAAAAAATACATCTAGATTCGGAGTCATGGCCATCTAAGTGAAGTTTTATTTTTTTACCAATTTTTTTAAATGGGGACTACGGAAAAAATTTGCTAAAACGAATAATAGACAGCATCCTGTATACGATGGTTTATTTTAAAAGCCTGCAATATTACAAATCACACAACTATGGTGTTAACCACGGTCAATTTTTTCGAAGAGTAAAATAATTATCAAAGTTTCTGGTGCAAAGTTATTTTTATTTTTTGTTAACACCAAAAATTACTCAAAATTATACTGTATTGTAACAAGAACTCAATATTCGATAATATCAAATCACAAAACATCAAAATGAAATTGGTATTTCGGAACAAACTCATCGATTTTCTGAAGATTTTCTTGTCCAAAATAATTCTCCAAAATAATCTCCAGAAAATCAATGAGTTTGAAAATTATTTCACTCTTAAAAACAATTCACTGTGATCAACACCGTAGTTGTGTAATTTCTAATATCGCAGGATTTTAAAATAATCCATCGTATACAGGATGCTGTCTATTTATCGTTTCAGCAAAATTTTTTTTCGTAGTCCTCATTAAAAAAATGGGTAAAAAATAAAACCTCACTTAGATGGCCATGAATTCAAATGTAGATGTATTTTTAAATGCTAAACAACGTTTCTAAATAACATTTTCCGAGATTTTTTTAAATATGAGCACTTTATTCGTGTCTCAAAATCGAATATTTGAAGGCTCCTCATATATAACGTGTGTTTTACCGTATTTTTTGGTGCATGTTTGGTTTTAGGACATGTACAAACTTTTATTAAGAATAACTTTTTGTCGAAAAACCCTTGATAAATAAGTTTTCCATATGGTGCACACTTTGAGGATGACACTGTAAACTCCAGATTTCTTCAACTTGTTCACCTTATCTTTGGGATTCTACAGGAAATCATATAACCTAATTTCATTGTACTCAAATTTATTCTGATTGTGTGTAATTGTCAGGTCTGTTTCCCTATCTCTGTTTCGAGTGTGAACTGAATGTTTCTATTGAGATCATTCATGAATGTCATAAATTGGTTCAGCTATCGTGTAGTACCTCTGAAACAGGCGAGAATATTTTTTAGCCAGGTCGGAATTTACTATAGTGGTGTCCAAGCTGTTCATAAATATCTTTGTTGAAAGTGAACTAAGGGGTGAGCCCATCGGTAAACCTGAATCCTGTTTATAAAATTGGTTGTTGAACTGTAGGTAGCTTTGATTTAGGCACACATCGAAAGCTGTTGAAACTTCAGAGGAAGTGATATGGTCTACTTTGGCTTGAACTAATATGTCTAAAATGAGGGGTTAACACTCGTTGTACGGCATGTTGGAGAACATACTCATTTTAGATATATTAGATCAAGCCGAATAGACTATATCACTTCCTTTTCAACAGCTTTCGATGTTTGCCTAAATCAGAGCTACCTACAGTTCAACAACAAATTTTATAAACAGTATTCAGGTTTACCAATAGGTTCACCCCTCAGTCCACTTTTAGCAGACATATTTATGAACAGCTTGGAGACCACTATAATAAATTCCGACCTGGTTGAAAAACATATTCATTTTTGGTACAGATATGTAGACGATATTCTCACCTGTTTCAGAGGTACTACACGACAGCTGAACCAATTTATGATATTCATAAATAATCTCAATAGCAACATTCAGTTTACACTCGAAACGGAGATAGAGAAACAGATAAATTTCTTAGACCTGACCATTACGAACTATTAGAATAAATTTGAGTTCAATGTTTTCAGAAAACCTAGCTATACAGACATTATCATCCCAAGCGATTACTTCCATCCAGACAGTCATAAATTAGCAGCCTATAATTCAATGTCTGCTAACAATCTAGCTTGGGAAATTGATATAATAACAAGGATAGGTCATATTAATGGTTTCAACGCATATACTATCCAGAAGTTAAAAAACAAAGCCGTAAATTTACTTACAGATTAATATACCCCCAGATCAAAAACCAGAAATCAAGAAATGGGTAATTTTAACATATTTTGGAAAAAGAACAGAGATAATTGCGGGTTTCTTTAAAAAAACAATGTGGAAGTGGCATTCAGACCACATGCCAGGTTATCTGATTTTCTTTTCAATGCCAAAGATAAGGTGGACAAGTTGGAGAAATCTTGAGTTTATAGCTTGAGTGTCCGGAGTGTACGAATATGTACCGAATAACACCAGAACACCCACGATTGAATTGGTCTTTGAAAATCTATGTTTATTCGATTTATTAATTCGTACCAAGTTTTTGGGATTTCGATATAAATTTTTATATTAAACAGTTGTGTCACATTACGTATGGTATTGATCGGTGTGAAAAACTGTTACCCTGAAGGGGATTTGAATAGCACCAAAGTTAAAGATCTAAAATAATTCTGGGTGAGAAATAATACATTTCATGCAAAATTTGGTGTCGTTTTATTTCAGTTGAACAAAAACAAATCTCAAGGCAATGGCAAAAACTATATATTTACTGGTATTCATTGATTTTGAGAGAACCCTTTTTCCAGGAATAGGGATAATGTAGTTTTTTTATATTTTCACTTCTTGGGTAATAAATACTTGAATTGTTTTTCATTAAAATTTTGGGCTTCTGGTGTAAAATTCTAGCATTGGTTCATAGGTTTTCCAAGCCATCTGAATCTAGAATTTTCATTATACAATCACTGAACCGTGGTAGCCAGAAGGACACCTAATCCAGAATGAAGGATAAGGAAAAAGGCTACCAAAATCCAGCAAATAATCCAAAACAATATTGAATTTTACAAAAAGGATTGGAAGCTTTATATCTTCTATTAATTATCTGCGAGCGCCTTCGACAGTTGGTAGTACTGTCATCTTCTAGGCACTCCTCAGTTTGAGGAATATATATATATTGGTAGGAAATCATAATGAAGAA